GAAAGAGAGAGAGAGAGAGAGAGAGAGAGAGAGAGAGAGAGGACGGGAGAGTGCAGTGAGGGTGAGAGCGAGGGGCGAGGCGACGGGAGAGCGAGCGGGCGGAGCGAGAGAGAGAGCGAGAGCGGAGCGGGAGAGCGTGATCGGAGCGAGAGAGTGAACGAAGAGAGGAAGAGAGAGGACCGCCACCGTTGCTGTCACCGCTGACGCCGCCGCCGAAGCCAGGGTCGTCACCGAACACTGTAAAACTGACCATCTGCTCCTAATTTATTTGTGTCGCGCACCGTATCGTAGCGTGCCGTGTCTCGTCCGCGGAGTGGTCGCGCGAATAAAGAAAGCTCGCCCGAGGAAAACGTCCTCGGGCTTCGTGTACCGTTTCACGCATTGTACCGTCTCGCGTATAACGTCTATCGGGACGTGCGAGAGTCCCCGAATAAACGTCTCATTATTACTGTTATCGAGCCTAGTGATTTCGCCTCCTAACCCATCCCGTCTCCGACTTTAATTTAACACGAGCTACCGGTCCCGACGGTTCCGGGACGCGCATCTTTTGTGACAATTATTTATTCTCGCGTTTATCGAGGTGGTGCGGCCTTTCCGTACCTGGCGCCCAACTCTCGCGAAGATCTTAGTGGCGTGTCCGAGAGCCGACGGCAATTTGCCGACGCGGCGAACAGGCGACTGTTTGCCGTCGCTCGCGAGAAGTTCCGTTCGCGAGTATCGTCGCACACTATATATTTGTATAAAAGTACTTAAATAATATTTCTAATATTTATGTGTTCGGTATTTACACATATGTATATGTGTGTGTATAAAAGCAATATATCATATACGTTAATTAATTATAAATATATCAAATATATTAATTATGCGTTAATTAATTATAAATATATCAAATATATTAATTGATTATAAATTGTTCTCTATGCACGATTTATGAATGTAAAACCATTTCGGAGAATGTATGTCAGATGGAACATGAAGAAGTAGTCTCCAAGTTTAATTCACTTGAAGATAAAGAAAATACATGTTCGAATCAGTTGCATACCAAGTGCAATGAAGGTAAGAGTGATGTGAAGGAGAAGAAAGGATTGTTGACCGATACAAAAAGTCAGGAAAGTAATATAGATCGCGCTACACAAAATTTGGCGTATGGAGAAATAAAATTTCGCCTTCGAAACAATAAAACTCAAGTTTACCGCGACGATAACGATAGCGAAAGATCACGTTCGCTTACGCGGAAAGGTGCGCGCAGAAAGGAAAAAACAACTAAAGATAAAATCCAGGATGCACCAATTCATACAAAGGCGCTCAAAAAAGAAGAGTCTACTCATTTCCTCGTTGTTTCACAGAAATATGACACGTCTCGACAAATTTCGTCTCGAAAATCATATGTCAAAAAAACTTAACACTTTACATTGTTGTCGTATCTTTAATTCGCATTCCTAACGGGAGAAAGTTTGAAAATATATTTCATTAATTTTGCTAAAAGACTTGGAAGTTCTTATTAGCTTCGTTGAGTCTGGTTAGAGGAACAAAGGACTTGGGTCCAAATCGCGTCTTACGACATTTATCGTCGTTGAAACATTAATTTATATATTTTCTGGAGAGAGAGAGAGATTTGTAATTCTTCCCATCATCAGGTTAATAATTGACACTTATATATGTGTGTTGATTATATTTATATTAAACACTATATATTTGTATAAAAATACTTAAATAATATTTCTAATATTTATGTGTTCGGTATTTACACATATGTATATGTGTTTGTATAAAAGCAATATATCATATACGTTAATTAATTATAAATATATCAAATATATTAATTATGCGTTAGTTAATTATAAATATATCAAATATATTAATTGATTATAAATTGCTCTCTATGCACGATTTATGAATGTAAAGCCATTTCGGAGAATGTATGTCAGATGGAACATGAAAAAGTAGTCTCCAAGTTTAATTCACTTGAAGATAAAGAAAATACATGTTCGAATCAGTTGCATACCAAGTGCAATGAAGGTAAGAGTGATGTGAAGGAGAAGAAAGGATTGTTGGCGCGTACAAAATGTCAGCAAAATAATATCGATAGTGCTACACAAAATCTCACCTACGGCGATATTAAATTTCGCCTCCGGGGTAATAAAACTCAAGTTTACCGCGACGATAACGATAGCGAATGATCATCTTCGCTCACGCGGAAAGGTGCGCGCCGAAAGGAAAAAAGAACTGAAGATAAAATCCGGGATGCACCAATTCATACAAAGGCGCTCAAAAAAGAAGAGTCTACTCATTTCCTCGTTGTTTCACAGAGGTATGACACGTCTCGACAAATTTCGTCTCGAAAATCATATGTCAAAAAAACTTAACACTTTACATTGTTGTCGTATCTTTAATTCGCATTCCTAACGGGAGAAAGTTTGAAAATATATTTCATTAATTTTGATAAAAGACTTGGAATAGTATTCATAGTCAAATTTTTTATTTAAGATCATCTTAAATTTATATTCAGATAAATTTGTTATTATATGCATTATTTCATTGACTACGAAACATTTGAAGATAAACTTAAAACAATTTGAAATATAAGGTTGAATTCCGAATTATTATAAAGAAGTAAAAGATAAAAGATATATTTTGTTAATAAGTTATAATTTTCTTTGAATCGGGCATAATTTTAATTAAAAGATTTATTACTCTTTGTAACAGAATTCGTTCTTTAAGTGACCAAAGCAGAATTCATTCTAATATAGATAACAAATTGGCTGGCAAATTATTTCGGAGATAACTCTATACATGTATATACACAATATAAAATATTATTATTAATAATTTTTGCTGCATACTATTATAATTACGTTAAAATTAAGAACTAATCGAATATTTTCAATATTTTTAAAATGTGACAGGTTATTAAGATTCGATATTTTTTATCATTATTAACTTAAACGTCATATTTAATGCTTTTTTAATACTTTTAAAATTCTTTTTTATGTATTTATTTTTATTCTTTTTTGTGTATTATCTCTACTGTAGAGTATAATCTATCTATACAGAATTACTTTTAAAAATCCAATGACAAACCTATGTAGGATAAATCTAAAGTAAAAAAAAGTATTATATATTAATTGATCATTAATCGGTCGTCTTCAGAAGTAATTCCGAAGACAAATCTGTGCATGTACCAGTTACATTGTATCCCATGATCGTGCTACCATCAGAGTCTCCAAAAATTAAGAATCTCTCAAACGATGTGAAGAAATTCACATTGTGCAACATTAAAATGTGGAAAAACAAGATGACACACTTTCGCAGTTAGTATCTTACGAGAAATTGTAATAGACATTAAAACTTACGAGGACTTTCACATGTATATCTTTTTAGTTGACAGTGTGCCTAAGAATCCTTTAACTACATTGGCTGTTACGAAGGCGGATGAATTGAATACTAGAAATGATTTATTAAACACTCACAACATTGATTTTCTTCCCAAAATTTCGCCCCATAAATTAAACTTAACGCGGAGCGATGCACCTAATAACAAGATATCAAATAATCAAATGACTGATATAAACAAGGCTATTAATAACAAACCGGGTTATATTTTACGAGACGTCAATAATGGATATGTTTCGAACGAATCCGTTATGATTTCGCAAGCTGCGACCTCTTTGAATATACAAAGTGACATTGGCATGAGGTAAACTATAAATGAAAATTATAAACAAGAAGTAGTAAATAGAAATTGTTCTGTTGTCAGTGTTATCAGCCGTAGAGATTAATCAGTAAACACCAAAAGTAATATAGTAATATTACATAATATTACATCATATTTATAATTTTATAATAATTATATTATAAAATTATATTATTTTATAATAATCATATTATAATTATTGTGACGTGGCGATTTCGCCGTCACCAAGAGAAGCGGGGAGACGAGGAGAGCTGCGCTCGCGCCCCTTCTTCCGCGGGAAGGGCGGCTGCGAGGAAATTGGTCTCGCACGCTTTTTACGTGCGAGATCGCGTATTGTAATTTTTGCTATTTTTGTTGTTTTAAAATGTGTGCTCGGCGGCGACGAGATAGACGAGGTGCACCGCTCGAAGCGAGGCGACGGCGGACCGGTAGAGGACGACAAGCCGAGCGGGGCAGGATCCACCCCTCGCTATCACAAGCGAGGGGGCCCCGACCAGATTGCAGCGGGGCGCCAGGAAGGGCTGACCGTAAGGACCAGATCCCGGGGGACGCCCTGGGATACCTCAAGCTTTTGGCAGCCACCTGAGCGCCCACGCTAAATAGAGCTGCCGTCAGAGACAGGATGCCGTCGACGTAGAATCGGAGAATTCGGCGGTGTCGCGCGGGCCCTGTAAGGCGCCCGCGCTAGAGCCGTACGTCCCGCAGGACCAATAAGACCTAGCGGCGATCGGCGGCTGATACCGCGAGTTAAGGAGCCTCGCGCTCGCGGAAAGGATCGTCACTGTGCGGCTAGCGAGCGAAGCGTGCGCTGGGACGATAGTACGAGCGAGCGACGAAAAGCCAGCGAGCGGACGAGACCGCCAGCGAGCGAGCGAGCCGACAAGCGAGCGATAGAGCGGAGAACGAGAGGCGAGCCCAGCAGGAATTTTTGGTGAGCCGTCGTACATCTGTCGTTCAGCCCGAGCGGGGAAAGATCGGAATGGTTGCCGTCGCTTCACGACGGCTGCCGGAAGGGTTCCTCACCGCCCGCGACGACCCATTTGACCTCGCGAGAGAATAGCCGCCCTTACCGCGTGCCTGCGGCCGCTTCACCGTGTTCGCGACCGCACAGTACGGCGAGCTAGAGCGTAAATATTGTAATGACTTGAGATCATTGTTAGAAAATGCGGGTTCCCGAGAGTGGCGATAACTACGCGGTTCGCGACGAGACAATTAGGGCCGGGATGCACCCGGCTGGCGCCCACGGCAATATACTTATTAAAACTTACGAGGACTTTCACATGTATATCTTTTTAGACAGTGTGCCTAAGAATCCTTTAACTACATTGGCTGTTACGAAGGCGGATGAATTGAATACTAGAAATGATTTATTAAACACTCACGACATTAATTTTCTTCCCAAAATTTCGCCTCATAAATTAAACGCGGAGCGATGCACCTAATAACAAGATATCAAATAATCAAATGACTGATATAAACAAGACTATTAATAACAAACCGGGTTATATTTTACGAGACGTCAATAATGGATATGTTTCGAACGAATCCGTTATGATTTCGCAATCTGCGACCTCTTTGAATATACAAAGTGACATTGGCATGAGGTAAACTATAAATAAAAATCTCTAAATAAATGAATATTCTCTCGATACTCTACTGAGTATCGAGAGAATATCGCGAGCCGCGTGTCGCTCGAACTCCGCGAGGCAGAAGGATCCTCGACGACGGATCGGGCTGCCGCATGATTTCACGATTACGCGATTCGGAGCCCGCACATATTGTAGTATCTTTCTTTGTTGTTTTTTTTTTGTTGTAAATATAGAGTGATGTTAAACGATACGTGTGCGCATTCGTAATTCCTCCGACTCTGTCGCCTGTTCCTCTCGTGTCGCGCGAAGGAAGGTCGCGCGTCGGCACAAGAACCCCGCCGCTCTACCGAGGGATAATCTTTGAGAGCTGCCGGCAAGCTCGGCCGTCGCCGCAACGGCGGGGACGAAGTTTTGGCCATATTCTCGCGTGCCACTAACGGAAAAACGGTCACATTATATTTAATATTATACTTTACATTAATATTACATTAATACACATCAATAAATTACAATTCAAATTAATTTATTACATTAATATTTAATTAATGTTATAATTTTTCTACGAACGAAATGTAACTATTACATACAATATGTTTTACATTGCGCTTATATTGTTGAGTAAGAAACTAGAACATTTATGTAGACTTACTGTTGTTTGGCATTTATGGAGTAATGACGATCGTCCTTACACTATTAAGAATTATTATAAGATATTGAAGGAGTTAAAAAATTCGGTTAAGTTTTCAATAATTGAGGACGCGTATGCAGGTAACAACCTGCTGATAATGTTTTACTGTTAACTATGAACGTCAACAGAAGGCTATAGACAATGGTGGCGATTATTTGGTTGATGGATAATTTATTTGTATTGAAAACATATAAAGCTAAAATCTTAACTCAAGAATCGAACTGAATTTTTTTACTAATGAAACATACTTGCCTGGTTCAGATTATCGCAAACATATTTTTAGGTCGCCTAGTCAAGATAACAATCGACGATTTACGAAGAAAATAAATTCTAACTGTACAACACCTTTAAATAGTCCTTCAACTGGACTAACGTCTTCAATAAAGGTAGGGAAGACAAATTCCTATAAATAATGAAACAGTTGTATTATCGATTCAATGTGTTGTCTCCAATGTACTGACTGGCCGTTAATTTTATATATTCAATTAAATATGCAATTTTTTCAAATTTATAGATAATTGTATGTATTTTTATACAAAAATTTTTATATTAATGAAACAAGTAGACTAGATTGTTCAATTATCTATGTGTTACAATGTTTGAAGTAACATTTATGTCTTTCATGAAGGTATGTTATAAGCAAGACAAAGTGACAAATCAGTTTTGAACCAAGGAGGAAGACTTTAAAAATATTGACCAAATGTTAATGACATATATGTTAGACAGCGAAAATTGTTATTTGAAAATATTGCCAGATAAAGAACGCGAGAGGGAAGATCGTGCTCCTAAACTTTCTGCCTCTTTTCTGCGCAAAACTATAAACGCGCAACAAAGAAAAATCATCGTAGAGTATTTGATTTTTCTTGGTGTAAGTTTAATATAGAATAAAGTAGCTTAACGCTTGAATTCCTTTTTTAAAAGGAAGAAGTGTGAAGTGTGCGCATGTTAGATATATAATAATTACGCATTTGAACATATAATGTTCAACACAAAAGTACTATCGAAGCTTGTTAAAAGGAAAAAATGTAACAAGTTGATATAAGATATTTTAGATTTCTTCTTTCTCTCTCTCTCTCTCTCTGTTTCGAACGGCCTGAGGTCTAGAGCGGCTGGTTCGTAATGCCGTCGAACGTTCGCCGACTGCTATCTTAAGTTGCGTGAGTATGTTGTGCTCTCCTATTCAGAAGCCTCGTCAGATGGTGTGAGGAAAGTGCGAGAGTGCTCTTGTGTATAAGCGTACTGCGTGGCTCAGCATAAAGCCCGCGTGGAGTTGCCCGGCGCCTCCGCGCTGGGAATGAATCCCGCTTTCGGAGGATGATAGTCACTCAGAGTATGGAGACACTAGTCCGTCTCCTTTGGTGAGTGTCGGTACCGGTCCGACTGAGATTCAGCTCTGTTTGGCGAGGAAATAACAGAGGCTGAATTCGATATGATAGACAGGCGAGCTGAACTTGCTATCAGTCGCGCATGCGGCAAATGCGATGTCTGGTAGTGCGAGCCTACGCGCAAACGTAACTCTGAATCGCGTACGCGGCCGAGTCGAAGCCTGACGTTGACGTGCAGGTAACCGTAAACGTGCGTTGCTAATACCGTGTGCGTGACGAATGCCAAGTCTCGTCGAGGCGAGAAGCGAAGACTCCTCGCACATAGAGTCGCGGATGCGACCACGTAGAAGTCTGGAGTAGACTTAGGCCAGCGATCAGGTGATGCGAGAGCGTTGTGCCTCTTGTAGGGAAGTAATAGCGAGTATGTCTCGCGTAAGGGCTGCGGCCCTAGCAGCGAAGCAATAGCGAGCTTGGCTCGCGCGAGAGCTGCGTCCCTGACAGCGACTAAGTCCGGTGCGGACGTGGAGGCGAGCTTGGCTCGCGTGTATAGGCTGCGCCTCTGGCAGCGGCTAAGTCCTAGGCGGACGTAAATGCGAGCGTGGCTCGCGTGTATATGCTGCGTCCCTGGCAGCGAAGCAATAGCGAGCGTGGCTCGCGAGAGAGCTGCGGCCCTGGCCGCAGAGTTCTTGATTACGACGACTCGCGCGGAGTCGTGAGCTCAATCGTACTAAGTTCTGTTGGCGCTAATACCCGGTATTCAATACGGGAAATGTCGCGAAGCGAGACGTCGACCGCGGTGGAGGCGTCAAGGTAATCCGAAGTGGTCGCGCGAAGTCTTCTCTCAATCCCCGATCGTATTGAGAAGGTGCAGATCCGTGGAGTTACCATACACTTCGTAACCTAAATACCAACGTGTCCTCGGACACTCTAGAGGCAATAGCCCAACGTGCAAGGCGCACTCTAAAAGGCTGCGAAAAGTTGTGTAGAATTGCCGAACTCTAAACACAAATGCCAACGTGTCTACGACACTCTAAAGGCATTGAAGATCGATGCAGATATGCAAGTATACCTCTGGTGAGGCAAGTGCCCACGTGCTGGCGCACTCAAAAGGCGATATGAAACTAGCTAGAGCGTAAAAGAATACCTGATGTGCAGTCAAAGCTGGCAACAGGCAAGAGGCATAAAAGCCTTGAGTGGTCTCGCGCGGCGTCTTATATAGGCGCCTAAGCGAAACTTAACCGCGAGAAGCGGCTCCGGCCGACGCGCTCGCCGCGTCGCGGCGACGGCGCGCACCGGCGGCGGTAGGCCGGCGACCGCGAGTTGAGCGGCGCCTGGGACTCGGCCGCCCGCCGTACTCGTTCCGCATGGACATTCTACGGCCGTCCGGAACACTCTCTCTCTCTTTCTTTCTCTCTCGCAAGTCGAGAATATATAGTTTAATAACTGTGATAATTTTCAGGTGCGTTATAACTACGATTCAACTATTATTTATCAAACTGTCAAGTTATTTAACCTCGTTGTTGATAGAATTTTGATAAACACGGAGCAAATAAAATTAATGGCTTTAGCATGCCTTTGGATAATTCTTAAAAGAGAATTACCTAGTTATAAAGTACCAACGGTAACCCAATTTCTCGTTCTTAAAAAGCAAAAAATATATACGTATAATAAAGTATCGCGATTAGACTAGTTGTATTGTAGTTTTAATCAATTGATTTGTCGAATATGTAACGGGATTAAACAATTTCTCGCGGTATACTTTCTTTTCTCAGACAACTATGGTATTGAAATTGGCGAAGGACGTATACAAAAATCAAGAGAAACGTTTATTGATTTTTGAGAGGGATATACTTTCAATCCTAATGTTCAACATGCGGTTTGCCGACCCGTATTCGTTGCTTATACAGGGTGAGTCATTTTAGTCTATGGATCCGAATATCTTCCAAATTACGGTATCTACAAAAAAATGGTTTAGATAAAAGTTGACCAGGACAGAGGGGGTCATTCAATTGTACCATTGGTTTTGACCTTGAGGTCAATTTTGAAGGTTACTTCAAGGTCACGATGGTTTTTTCTAATGGGACACCCTATTTTTGACTGCGGATTTCGAAAGAGCGGAAAATTTTACATCAAACTTGTCTTATGAAAAAATTGTTTTTGCGACCTTGGAAAGGTCAAAAATGAAGGTGAAATGTCTGAAAAACGATCTGGTGTACTTTTTCTGAAATGACGTGGTTTTCTGGGTAACACAAATGTGCATAATGCTTAAACAAAGTCAATGAATTGTAAAAGTGTAAATCACTTTAACTAGCTTGACCTTGAGGTCAATTTTCCTTTAGGGTGCTTGATTATCGTGAGTCCCCTTGCCTCTCACGTTGGGGTGCTTGATTATCGTGAGTCCCCTTGCCTCTCACGTCGGGGTGCTTGATTATCGTGAGTCCCCTTGCCTCTCACGTCGGGGTGCTTGATTATCGTGAGTCCCCTTGCCTCTCACTGACACTGTAATTTAAATGAATTACCCACGGAGTAATTGTTCAAAATTACCTCCGTTGGCTTCGAGGCATAACTGCAATCTGTTTTGAAAACTATCCACAGTTCTAAGCAGGGTAGCTCTAGGAATGGCTGCACAAGCTCTACGAATGCGGTCCATAAAATCATCTCTTGTGGTTGGTCGTTCAGCAAAAACAACATTTTTCAAGTATCCCCATAAAAAGAAATCAGGCGACGTCAGATCTGGTGAGCAAGGAGGCCATTCAACTGGACCCCTTCGTCCAATCCATCTGTCATTGTAACTGGCATTTAAAAAGGTACGTACAATGAGTGCATAATGCGGTGCAGCACCATCTTGTTGAAGCCACATTCTTGCTCTTGTTGCTAAGTCAACATCTTCTAATAAGCCTGGTAAGTGATCTCTTAGCAACGATAAGTAACTGTGTCTATCAACGTTCTCTTCAAAAAAATAAGGTCCAATCAAATAACCATTTACAATGCCGCACCACACCATAATACTCCATCGATTTTGATGATCTATTGGCCTATACCAGTGGGGATTAACATCTGACCAATAATGGCAGTTGTGTCTATTAAGTTGTCCGTCACTATAAAATTTAGCCTCATCTGAGAAAAGCACATACCTAAAAAAATTAGGATCATCGTGTAACATTTGTAAAGCCCACTGGCAAAAAGCAATACGCATCAGATGATGATTAGGCTGTAAAGCCTGCGTAAGAGTGATGTGGAAAGGGTGATAATTTAGAGCTCTTAAAATTCTAACAACAGTTCTTTGTGGTATACCTATTTCCCTTTCAATCTGGCGAGTACTAACATGAGGATTAAGGTGAACTATTGCTGAAATAGTTACAGCTCGCGCATCATTTTCGTCATATTCATGATGTTGACGTTGACGAACAAGATGTCCATTGCGAGCTCTTTGGACTAAACTACGTATTGTCATATCAGTTGGATGTCGCCTTTCAGGAAAACGTTGAGCGTAAAGCCTTGATGCTGCATTGTAATTGCTATGACACTCCCCTAAAACTAATATAATATCAACAATCTCATTAGGACTATAATCAGCCATTCTGGAAAGGTAACTTGTGAATGTAATTACCTACATACCCTGTATGTATGTTTGGAATTTTTAAATTTAAGCAACTTTAAATAGTAAATTTTTCAATTATGCAGAAGTGAGTAAGAAAGAAAAGGAATAAAACTCTATTATTATAACAATAATTATAAATCTTAAATCAAACGTAATTGTTTAGTTTTTTTCAATCGTTGATTATTAGCATTAGGTATCGGATACCTTACGTCCGCTTCTCCCGTAGTAGAAATGGATTTCCATTTATCCTTGATATGACCTTGATATGACCTTCAAAAGGTCAGGTCGAAAAACTAAAAAATCCCTATGCTCATGTAAAAAGTGCCATTGTTTAAGAGCCCATTGTCAAGAAACAGGTTCTGCGGTCAAAAATAGGGTTTACTGATCAAAAAATGCGTTATGAGCCTCAAACAACCTTGAAAATTGACCTCAAGGTCAAGCTAGTTAAAGTGATTTACACTTTTACAATTCATTGACTTTGTTTAAGCATTATGCACATTTGTGTTACCCAGAAAACCACGTCATTTCAGAAAAAGTACACCAGATCGTTTTTCAGACATTTCACCTTCATTTTTGACCTTTCCAAGGTCGCAAAAACAATTTTTTCATAAGACAAGTTTGATGTAAAATTTTCCGCTCTTTCGAAATCCGCAGTCAAAAATAGGGTGTCCCATTAGAAAAAACCATCGTGACCTTGAAGTAACCTTCAAAATTGACCTCAAGGTCAAAACCAATGGTACAATTGAATGACCCCCTCTGTCCTGGTCAACTTTTATCTAAACCATTTTTTTGTAGATACCGTAATTTGGAAGATATTCGGATCCATAGACTAAAATGACTCACCCTGTATATTATATATTAAGTTTCAACAAAATACCTCGATATATCAATAAATACGATATCATTCGTATCTATTATTGCGGTAGCTTTTTGGTATGGATATAAAAATGCATATCTATATGCATACACACACACACACACACACACACACATATATATGTGTCTCACACTCTCCTCCGGGCATTTTGTGGGAACGTAGAACAGGCTGCGGTGAACATAAAAGTCCTGTATCGTTTTGCGATATTCGCAATAATTATCGAGATATTAATTGTAGAAAATTTGTAAATGATCATGCAGAATATGATAAATGAGTTATAGTAGCGACGACTGCCGTCGTGAGTGCATTATTACGTAAAATCATACAATAATCTCCTTTAATTAATAATTAAAAATCTATGTGATTATTTGCAAAATGGTAGAGGACTTTTTTGTTCAATTTGACCTAAAGTATAAGTACACGACGGCAGTCGTCGCTACTATAACTCATTTACCATATTCTGCATGATCATTTACAAACTTTCTACAATTAATATCTCGATAATTATTACGAATATCGCAAAACGGTATAGAACTTTTATGTTCACCGCAACCTGTTCTACGTTCCCACAAAATGCCCAAAGGAGCGTGTGAGATACCCTGTGTATATATATATATATATATATATATATATATATATATATATATATATATA